GAGAACGACCCGAGTCGGGTAGCTCGGTTACCACATGCCCAAAAATACTACAAACACGCTCGCCAATGCCCCTGCGCGCCGTGCTATCAGTCACCTGCGAGCTCGCGGATTTCATGGAGAACTCGAGAGTGTCCCATTTAACCTGTAGGTTTTAGTGTGTGTTTTGGAGTGAGAGTATAAATATTTTTTTTCCTTTGCATTTTGAACATCCATTTTTCATTATTTCATTTTTCTCTTTTGGGAACTTAGCTTATGTTTCATTTTTCTTTCTAGATTAGAAGTTTGTGTCATTTTCTGGGAGATTTTCCGACGACTTTGGTTTCTTTCAAGTTTTGACTTTTTGACTCCGTTTTTCGTCGTCTACGCATTGGAAGGTATTTAGTTTTAAAGCGCTTTACTTCGATTTTTGCTCCGTATTTACTTATAATGTTTATTAGGGTAAATTTGGGTTTAAATGATGATGGAGGGAAAGTCGGGATTTGATTGCTTGCTTGAGTAGATAGAGAAGTTAATTGCTTGTTGATCTCGTTTAAGGATTAAGACCCGATTAGGGCTTAATCACTTGGGGTTAGACGACTAGGGTTAGCAATCTAATGCTCATAGCTCGTTTATTCCTTATGTCGATTGATTATCATCTCGTTGTGGTTATGGCATGAGACTCCGATGATCTAATTTGCTACTCGCTCGTGATTTGATATTGCTCTTAGCTCATTGCTTGCTCGTTTTGTGTTAATCACCCTCCAATCAATTGCTTAGAATGTTTAGGATTTATTTTATCTTTTTGTGATTTGGACAATCAACTAGTAGATAAAACTGCGAATAGTCTTCTCTCGAGATCGACCCGAGTCAGGTAACTCGATTATCCCTAGCCCACCAAAATCTTTACGAAACAGTTTGCCCACTCGAATCCATGTTCAAAATACAATTTGAGCTGTTACATGTCATGCTAGATTCTGGAGTCATCAAACATCCATTTTGGTTGATTGACTCACTGTTATGTTAGATCGGCCCCTTTACGACGGTTTTATAAAATTGTAGTAAAAAATCGATGTTTGTTTGGTCACTCAATTTTTAATGAAAAGTAATTTAGGGCCAAATTTGGCGTTTTCTGTCTGGGGACAATTTTCGGTGTCATTCGGTGTCTGTTTTAGTCGGATGACCGACTACCTAGTCATGTCTACTCGAAGTTTGTTTGCTGACACAATCTTTTGTTCAAAATGATTTGCTCATGAACTAAAGCTTAAGAAAAATTATATTGGCAAATACCCTGTTAATGTGAACCGCTAAACACCGCCCCTTTTCGATTTTTACCGCTCCCCAAAAGTCTAATTTGCCCCTAACCTCATTTCTCTCTCTCTTCTACTCTCTTTCTCTCTCTTGTTTTTCGCTTATTCGACATCCGAAAAAATTCCGAAA